TCCTACAGAGGGGAGGGGCCAGGAGGAAGAGAAGTTAGGCGAACCCCCAGGACTTGGCTCGCCAGGTGGCTCAAAGGCCGCGTTCGAGTCGGAGTTCCCCGGGCAGAGAGACTCCTGGGGTCGGGGACGTGTTTCGCCGTCGTGGGAAGGCGCCCGTCGACTCCGTGCCGGAAGCCGTCCCCGCGGAGAGCTTTCCCGACGCCTGCAAGCAAGGCGCAGGCTCAACCGAAGCCAGAAAGGCTGGGTGAGTCGAAGAGGAAGACTACCGTCCGTCTGCCTCCTCCGCGCGGTTTTGAGGGGCCGGGACAGAAGCCGGAGCCGAAGAGGTCCCGCCGGGGCTGGGTATCTTTGGCCTTGCGCTGGGCAGGGGGCGAAGGCAACCGCCCTTCCCACTCACCCATTCAGGATCATGTAAATGGAAAGGGCCCCGGGGCAAGAAGGAAGAGAGAGCCCGAAGGGTCGTATTTGGGTGGCAGCTGCTACCGAAGAGCGATGGTGTGTGTGTGTGTGTGTGTGTGTGTGTGTGTGTGTGTGTGCCCCTGACCTCTGACCTCCCTTTCCCCCAGCCCCTATTTTCCAGCTTCCTACTCGGGAGGGGATTATTCCCCCTCTCCTCCCTTTTCTTCTTATTCAGAAAAGCAGCACTTTTAAAATCCGGAGGAAGCTAAACTAACTTCCTTCCTTCCTTCCTTCCTTCCTTCCTTCCTTCCTTCCTTCCTTCCTTCCTTCCTTCCTTCCTTCCTTCCTTCCTTCCTTTTCTTCACTTTGTTCAAGTTGAAGGTTTATTTATTTTTTCTTCCTCTTCTCTCCTCCACAATTTTGTTAGTAAGCCCCTTGATCAGAGATCCTACTGAGTCTGACTTTCGGGGCTCACCCCAAAAGGCACCCACTAAAAGAACCACACTCCCCCCCCCGTTTGTGGGAATTGGGCTGGCTGAGTTGAGGGGGGGGGGAAGATCCATGCTGCATTTGTTGTGTGAGATGCTTTTTCTTTAGTTTAAATTGTTTTCCAGTGATGGACATGCCTTTTCTTCCTTCAGCGGCAAGCCAAGGTCTGCAAAATAAGGGCGAGATGTCTTCCTCCTTCCTCATTAGTCCACTCTGCTCTGAAGTACGTAAGTCTTGGGACATTGCCTCCTAAGATGTGGCTCTGACCTTGTGTGGCCTCCATCTCCAATGCCAACAGATCTGCAAGTATCAGGGTGGCAATGTTTGAGATCCATATAGAGTCCTCCTCTCCATCCTTCCATATTGGTCCCGGGGGCGTAATCCTGCTGCTTTGGAAGGCCTTTTCTTCCATAGTGGTGCACGAGGCTGGGGCCACCATCAAGCCAGACTTGGTACAAATATTTATGTTGTTGTTGTTAATTGCAAAGTCTGACCCATCGCGACCCCATGGACAACATTTCTCCAGGTCTTCCTGTCCTCTACCATCTTCTGGAGTCCATTTAAGTTCACACCTACTGCTTCAGTGACTCCATCCAGCCACCTCATCCTCTGTCGTCCCCTTCTTCTCTTGCCCTCCATCTTTTCCAGCATTAAGCTCTTCTCCAGGGAGTCCTTCCTTCTCATTAGGTGGCCAAAGTATTGAGTTTCAACTTCAGACAAATATTTATAGACCACTATAAATTCCAAACATTGGAGTTGGGGGGGGAGAAGAGGAGGGGGGGGGGAAGGAGATAATATTTTGTTGGTTGCCAACAACACCAAGTGGCCACTCCAGAAAATCTTTCTGGTAGAGTCACCCAACCTTCCTTGTGGTCACACAGCCTATCTTCATTGATTAATAATAGGCAGAACAATCTTTGAATGGGTTGTACATCCCCTGTGAAGCTTTCAACTTCTCAGATCTCTGGGAACACAATCTCCCACCCCAAACCTACCCCAAGCAAGCTTGCTTGAAGACCCCACTCATTTCTATGGAAGCAATTGCCTGGAGCTCGCTAAAGGCTACCAATTCTTCTCACCGCTGGAGAATTTTCGAGGCGGATTTAAAAAAAAAAAAAACAGATCCAGGGGAAAATCGCCTTAGACCATTATCATTTTGGGGCCCACTACTTATCCTGATCTGGGTGGGAGATGAAGGGAGCCTACTGCGGGGCGCCCACACTTCTGAAAAGTATATCAATGAATACTGGAGGAAGGTTTTTTAAAATGTGTGTGTTGTCTTCAGTGCTGTTTGTCTCCCTGAAAGGTCGATTTGTGTTTGCGCCTCTGAGCGTGGGTTTGTGCAAATAAATAAAAGTTTTTATATTTCTGTCACAGTGCTGAATCTATTGCTTTAATAGTGTTCATTTCCTCTGCTGTTGACTACAAAGAATATATATATATATATATATATATATATATATATATATATATATATATATATATATATATATATATTCTTATATATATAGGTTTGAAGGAAGGAAAGGTTATTACTGAGCATTTCCCCTACGACAAGGCCTTTGGATTTATTTGGTCCTCTCCTGTCAGATCTGTCACCAACGCAATACACAATAATTTAGATCTCTCCTTTTCTTTCCTGCCCTCCCCCCAGTTACATTTGACCAAAAGCCAGATTTCCTTCCCTCCCTCCTGCCAACCCCTCGCCTCCTAAGCTTATTCATAAAGGAGTTTTAATCTGATTCTTGATTAGGCTTTCTAAAAAGCATCTCAACGCAGAGGCGAGCAAACTTTCCCAACGTTTTGTTTTGCAGCGAGCTCGAAACAGATAAAAGGAAAGCTCAAAGCGAGGAGTTGGATAAGGCAGGGCATTTCGCGGTACCTAAGAAGGTAGGGGGGTGGGTGGGTGAGTTAACAGGCAAAGGGACCCCAGGCTCTGTCACTTTAACTGGGGAACATCTGATTTCCAACTCTGGCAGATGGCTTCTGAGCCCAGATTTGCATGCATTGTCTTGAAAGCTGTTTTCGCGTCGGTGCTAGATAGATTTCAGAGACAGGTCTATCCCCCCAGATCGCCGTACAAAAGGAACCGGGGGTGGGGGGTGGGGGTGGGGAAGAGAGAATTGACACCAAGCCGCTTTGCATTGATATACAGACGTGCTGTTCTTTCCAGCGAGACGGACGGACGGACGCCGGCAAGGTTTGTGGAAACTCCGACGTTTAACGGATCTCTCCCGACTTAAAACACACACACACACACACACACACACACACAAAATAAAGTTTATGAAGAGCGTGGTTGCACGCGGGGCTTGTGCACCGCTCTCTGTAGGGATGGGCCGTGTGAAAGGGTACATTTTTAACCTGCTTCACCTCTTCCTCTGAAGTCCCCCCGGCCAAACACCTATCTCTGGAAAAGCAGCCAACCGACAAACAAGCAAACTCAGCTATCTTTCCATCTTTTTTTTTTCCACCATCCGGAAGCACGCACAAGGATGAGAAGGTGCCATCCGTATGAACCGCACGCCTGTAAACCCAGCTCTGAATTTGCCCCTCGTTTTATTTTCTTTTACTTTGTGTTTTAAAACAAACAAACACAACTCCCGTTTTTCTCCCTCCCCTCCCTTCCCTTCTCCCCCCCCCTCCCAGCCCAGCGAAGCGGCGGAGAATAACTGGAAAGGGAGGGCGAAGCGAGGCCAGAGGGAATCCCCTCGGAAAGGTGTTGCAAAGTCGAGGATGTCGAAAAAAGGTGCCTTTTTCTAGATGCAATTCAGAGGGAGCAGCTGAAAGCCGGGAAGCGCCACGCTGCCAGTTTAATTGTAATAATAATAATAATAGTAATAATAGCCTTAATAATCATAAGCCTTAAGGACAAATGCATATAAAGTCAAAATTGAGAAAACAGCAACAGACAGTAAGTGCAGCCTATGCAAAGAAGCTGAAGAAACAGTGGACCACCTGGTAAGCTGTTGCAAGAAGATTGCACAGACTGACTACAAGCAGCGGCATGACAAAGTAGCAACAATGGTGCATTGGAAGATCTGCAAAAAATATCATTTGCCTGTAAGCAAAAACTGGTGGGATCATAAAATAGAGAAAGTCATAGAAATGATAAAATTAAACTGCTCTGGGACTTCAGAATTCAAACAGACAAGCACCTGCAACATAACACCCCAGACTTAACAATTGTCGATAAGAAAGACAAAAAAGTCTGGATAGTGGATGTGGCAGTGCCTGGAGACAGCAGAATAGACGAGAAAGAACTGGAGAAGATAACAAAATACAAAGACCTACAAATAGAAATAGAAAGACTGTGGCAAAAGCAAGCAAGGGTAGTACCAATAGTCATAGGCTCCTTGGGTGCAATCCCAAAACAACTGGAGCACCACTTGAACACCATTGGCATTGACAAATTCGCTATTAGTCAATTGCAAAAGGCGGCCTTACTAGGAACTGCTTCCATCCTGCGACGATACCTGTAATACCATCAAACATCCACATCTGCCTATCCCAGGTCCGGGGGTAAGGACTCGATAGGTAGACAAAATGCCAAATCCAGTCTGAACATCTGGCTGACTGTACGATGATCCATAATAATAATAATAATAAAGTTGGAAGGGAACTTGGAGGTCATCAAGTCCGACCCCCTGTTCAGGCAGCTTGAACGGTCGGGATGCTTCATCGCTGCGGAGACGCAGCTGGAAACGCACACACACACACACACACACGCACGCGCGAGCGCGCGCGCGCGGTTCCCCTCCCTTCGACCCGGGTCAGTTTTAACAAAGCGAAAGGCGAACCGTTTGTGGGGAGGGAGGTAAGCGACTTTTTCAGTTCAACCCGCGATCCAAGGAAAGCCGCCTCCAGGCTCCCGGGCAGCCCCGCCCACCAACCCCGGCCAGCCCCGCCCCCTCGAAGCGTTTTTTTTTCCCCGCCCCGCCCCTTCCCTCTCTCTCTCTCTCTCTCTCTCTCTCCTTGCAAGCCGGACCGCCGCGCGTCGCCCTGTCTCCGTTGGAGAGCCGCTCTCCCTGGTCTCCTCCAATGGGGCGAGTCTATGCAAATCCGGCGCGCCTCTCAGTCGGCCGGCCGCCCCGCCCCTTTCCCTAGGACGTTCGCTCCCCCGGCCGTCACCCATTCATGGCGAAGTCGGTCCGGAAAAGCGGCCGCGCTTTTGGCCCCCGCCAGTTTCAAGGGTGCAAATCAGAATTTCCCGGGCAGCGCTTCGCCTCCGCCTTTGGCAACTGAGCCTGCTGCTCTCTCGCTCTCGCTCTCTGCTCCCACCCCTCCCTCCCGTGGCGTTTTTTTCTCTCTGCACCTCCCACTTTTTTTTTTGCGCTCCTTCCCGGCTCGCTCGGGCTCTCTCGCCCCTGGTGGACGAGGCAGCCGCCCAGCCAGCCGAGCCCCGCGTCTCCGGCGAGCAGGTGACCTGCGCTGTAAGGGAGGAGAAAGGACCGTGGCTTGGCATGTTTTCTCCGCGCTCTCCCTCCGGCGGCCGCGGCCGCTGAGAAGATGACTCGCCGCCTCGGAAGTGGCTGAGCGCCGCGACTTCTTCGGCTTGCAAAAAAAATCGAAAGAGTGGAGAGGGGGGCGCACAGAGACCCTCCGCCTTAGTATCTCCTTTAAGGCTTGCTTTGTGTCGTTTTGAAAGGACCGGGGAGGGGGGCGAAGAGAGGAAGGAGGGGAGGGGGGGGGAAATCAAACCCCTTCAAGACCCTCCACGCAACTCGTCTTGAAAAGGCGGAGGCTGATCTCGCCCGGAGAGGAATTGGTGCCGCTGCTTTGGAAGTTTGCTCCACGGCAAGAGAAAGAAAGAAATAAAGAAAGAAAGAAAGAAAGAAAAAAAGCCTAGTTTGGGTTTTGGAATAAACCTATATTTAATATATATCTTAAATGTTCGGGATCCAAGATACGTTAGGAAGAGGGCCGATCCTGAAAGACAAGGTGCTGGGGTCGGAGATGGATCCGGTCCGCTCCTGGGTCAGGAACGTCGGCGTGGTGGATGCCAACGTCGCCGCTCAAAGGTAAAGTAGAGCGAATCTTGAGTTTGCATGCTTGGGCATGGAGGGGGGTGAAGGGGGGGGGTTGCCGTCTCCCTCTTTGCTCTTCAGCCCCCCCTCCCATTTAGAAGACCGGTCCCAGGCCGATCTCTTCCTGGGTTTATTTGTTTCTTGCGCACGTTCAAGTTGGACTGGGAAGTTGGGCTCATCCTTAAGAAAGAAGGACGCGGCGCTTTCTCTGTAGCGCGCAAATCCAATTTCGAGGAATGGGGGGAGGAGGGAAGGTTATGTTGGCCTAGTCAACTTCGAAGGAAGCCTTCTTGGGTTTTCCTTCGAAGTTGACTAGGCCAACATAACCTTTCCCCCCCCACCATTCCTCGAAATTGGATTTGCGCGCTACAGAGAAAGCGCCGTGTCCTTCTTTCTTAAGGACGAGCCCAACTTCCCCCAACGGCACTACTGCGCCCAGGGGAAACGAAGGGGCCCGTTCTTCGGCGAGCTCAGGATGCTGAACTCTTCAGCAGGTCAGCCACGCTCGCCTCTTCAGCTCTCCAGGAGCTGATGCGCGGCGTCAGATTTACTTCGGGGGGGGGAAGGGTCCTAGAGGGAGGTTGCCTCGCTTCTTCTCTTAAGAAAGTCTGGCCACCCCTCGCGCAAACGTCTCTAGGATGAGGTAGTGGTCGCCTGACTTCCCGATTGAATCTGCGCCTTTTAAATCTTGGCCCCGAACAACGTCCGTCTGCAGGAAACAGAGACCCGATTTACCCTTCTTTATGTCAGGGTCTTTATTTCTGATCAGGCCGCGCTAATTCTAACCCCACCCGAAGGAAGCGTGTAGAGCAGGTGCCTCTGGAAGGCGAAGGTGAAGTTAGTGCTGAACCGCAAATGACATTTAGGCCTGGTTCACACAAGCCCCTTCAACCCATCTGTGATTTGATTTGGTTGGCGGGTTGAGTTGAACCCGGCAGCTGAGGGGTGACAAGGGTGATGGCTGGCACGAATGCTTTGCGAAGACCAGCCAATGGTGGCTTGTTCATTAACACCGTCTTATCCAAACGGTGGCTTACAGCACTGTGAGAAAATGGTTGTGCTTGGATCTGGAGTTCAGGTCAAACTCCGTCGAAAAGATCGTACTAAACAAGTGGACTCAACGGGCTACTTTCTCGGGAGCAAAGGTTAGGTTCCCGGCTAGGGAAACCCAATGCATGGAACTTGATATTAGAATCATGCAAGGTCGGGGTCATCTCTGCACTTCTTGGCTTAGAAGGCCACGCCAGTTTTAGGGTGTTAGGTGCCTGGAAGTTTAGTAACTTGACCTGGGTGAATGACTAAAGGGGAAGCAAAGCGGATGCGGGCTGAATTCACACAACGCAGCAAAGACACGGCTCAATCAATCAATCCATCGTGCTTCGTAAAATAAACCAACATCGCCCGGGTTCTCAGACCGCGCGACTTTCAAACGACAACTGGCGGGCTTGACGGAACGCAACGAGTCGAGAGCAAACAAATCGCACTTGAGAGTTTCCTGTGTTGTGTGAATTGGGCCGCTGAGACGGAGCTGGCCTCTGAAGAGTGCAACGCCAGGAAACGCCCGCTCTGCACCGCTTTATTCGCCGGGCCTGCTCTCCATTCAGGCTGGCTTCTCGGCTCCAAGATCGGGAGCGACGCCTGCTGAGTTCAGGGATTTCCCAAATTCGGGGGTCGCCCTTCGCAGCCAGCCTCCGGCAAAGGGGGTCCGCGCGATCCTTCCCCACGGATTAAAAGTAGGCGCCCTTTACTTTGTGCGGGACGTTCCCATTTAAACGGGCGACAGGAAGAGAATCAAAGCGGGACTTTGCGGAAAAAGTTTGAATTAAGCCCCAAAGTTTGTTGTCATCCGGGCTTGGCGAGGAGGGGCTGGCCACGGACGCGTTGCCCCTAAAACTCGATTGCTCCTGAAACGGGGTGCTTTCTGGCTCCAAGCGAGCAGAATTGCCGCCGCTGGGATCCAAACGCCGCAAAGAGCCAAAACAATAACCCACCTCTCTGCTTATTCCTGCGCCCCAGCACGCTTCGCTTTGACCGCTGCGGCGAACAATAAAGTCTTACCCCGGAGTAAAAAAGCCCTTTGGACTCCGCGGAAAGGGGCTTAGCCGGGTGGCAAAAGGGACCGGTAAACTTTCCTTCCCCCGCCCCTGCGAGCCTTGCAAACCCTACTCCGACCCCCTCGGGTCACTGGAGCTCAAGGGAGAGGAAGCCGCTTGGCGTCGGATGCAGCGGCTGATTTGCGCGCTGAGAAAGGGCCGGTAAACTCCCCCTCCACTCCGAGGCGCAAAAAGTTCCGCTCGGAAGCCAGGGACAGGATACCCCGGGATTGACTTGGTCTACTCTTCAAGGGAGTAGACCTAAGTCCTTTCCTTCCTCTCTTGGGGTGTCAACGTCTCCCTTCGGGGAAGAAAAAGCAGGGTCGACCTTCGCCGGGGCTGCGGGGGGTCTCTCTCGTGCGGTTCGGGCAGGTCTTTTTGCCTTCCCACCTGGGGCCATATAAGCAGACAGCAGCATCCCCCAAGTCTCCGGAGGAAAAAAAAAGATCCCAGATCTCTCGTGGAATCTTTCGGTGAGTGAGCTTCACGCACACAATTCTTAAAAAGCGGGGTTTTTTTTTTTTTTAATCGTTCTGACTCCACGCCTGCTCGAAGTTGGCTTGTACATTTGTTTGTTTTCTCCTCCAGAAATCAAATCTGTCTCGATTCTCTCGGTAGCTGCCAAGGAAGGCGATTTTAGATCACCCCCATCAAGGAAATTTGACTGTCTCTCCCCCCCCCCCACACACACACTTCCCTTACAAATGTCCTTCATTTAAAAGGGATGCAAAGACTGTCCAAGGACAATTTTAAACCGAAGCCTCTCCCAAATAAGTCCCTGACCCTAAACACATTAGCTTGGGCAGTTGATACTTCTGGTCCTTTGCGGAGGACCCAAGTTTTCGGAGGTGAAATTCGATGTGAGTAAAAGTGCGTTTCGGGTAAAGCTACCTTTCCCAGCCGTTTGTAAGTTTAAATCAAGATGCAGGTATGGAGAAACAGATCCCGTTTAATCTAGACAAGTTTGTTCCCAAACGGTGAGATGGATCTATCTACCCATGCCAATTCAACCCCGGTGACTTTTACTGGACTTGAACACAAAACTTGTGCTTTGATTGTTGCGTGGTATATGAATCCTAACAACCCTTCAGCTTGACAAGTACACACAAAATGACTTTTAACTCCTTTAAACGTGGCGGGGTTTTACTTCTACAGTAAGTGGACTTTTCAAGCCTCACCCCAAAATCTGTTGGGTTACAGAAGGCCGGTGGAAGCCAGTAAAATTTCCTTCAGAGTATTTAGAGTTATGTCCATAGGATCGGCGCAAAGGAAGAAAAGAACTGGAAAAGGGAAAGGGGAGGCTGCGATTTTGTGCGAAAATGTTGGCAGCCGCTTCCTAAAATCCCCGGGAGCTTCACTCTCGAGTAAACAGAGAGAGCAGCGCCAACGATTGTACTTACTCCAAGTCCCAAAAGAAGCTGGGCTTGGAATAAACACGCTCCAGTGTGATTTCCGGGCCAGTTTGACACCGGATCGAAGGGTTTCCGACTCTTTGCGGGGAAGGTGTGCTGATTTCCAAGTGATCCTGTGGAACTTCCCAAGAGCAAGTGCGTGGATCGTCTCATTGCCCAGTTCAAATATTTGGAATATTTGAAACCCCGGAGCTTTTTTTTTTTTTAAGTATGTTTTTTTGGGGGGAAGAGAGAGACGAGCTCGCAGCTCCGGGAAAGATTTTTTTTTAAAAAATGAATCCATTATATCTTGTGTTTAGGTGAACAATCCATAAACTTTCCGATCCAGCGCAGCCTCTACTTTCTCTCCTCCCCCAATCAATGCGCACTATAGGCGTCGGTGACCCTATGGAAAAAAGAGGTCCCCTTACCGCTGTTGATCATCCGTCATTAATCCGAATTAGACTCCTAGAACAGCGCAATCTCTTTATCCGCCCGCAGCACCAGCCCAAAGAGCTGGGTCAGTCTGGGAAATGGTGCCGCCTCGGGGTTGGGTTCCCCAGACTCTCTTATTCGTGGCTGGCACAAGTACCATTTATTCAAACTAATCCAGTTTTCTTGCTTGGGAGCAATCCTAAACTATTCCTGTTTAGCTCAGTTAAAACATGTCCCGCTTGTTTGTGGTTCAGTAGGTTGTGTGAAGGCAGGCAGTGTGAGGGTTAACGCTAGCTTCTTCCGACAGTGGCTTCAACTGATTTCCAGGGGGCTTATTTCCGTGTAAGCCCAGCAGCGCAACAATATTGTGGTTTTCTCTGAAAATAACAAAAGCTCACCGGAGTTTTCGGGACAATCTTGCTATTTTAACAATAACTTGAGGAATGGAACGGATCTAAAACCAGAATTTTATTGAGTGAAGTTTCTCTCTTCAAGCTGCTTTAACCCCGATTATTGTTTAATAATCGTTGGCTGCGCGATCGGAGAAGGAAGCCCGTTCTGCTTGGTGCGTGGCATCTACAGGGCTGGAGGTGGCAAAATAAAACGGTTATCCGTGTCTACTCACAAGTAAACCCCATTGGTTCTGCCTAGGGCTCGGGTGCCGGTGTGTAGAACTGAAAAGTTCGCAATTTCAGTTTCATAACTGCGGGAGGAAAAACAAAAACAAAAACCCAGGGATAACATTATTTTTGAGAAAACGGGAAATTCAGCAGGTGAACCTCTTGTTCTCCCCCTCCTCCGCCTGTCCCTTTTCTTCTTCTTTTCACGCGCTCTTACAAGCGACTCGAGGTTTGAGTAGGCACCCCCACCCGCGTCCACGACCGGATGAAGTGGGCGGACGGCAAGGGAGAAAGTTTGTAAATAACTTCTGAACATTCCCTGGATAGATTGAGCGACAAATTAGCCCTCTGAATGTTTGTTTAATCGAGCGGGTGGGTAGTTTCTGGCTTGCTGTTGCAGCTTCAGAACCTGGATCAAAGTATGAGCCCATGGTTTATTTAGACCCGGGGCGACTTTAGAAAGTTAGCCGTGGTCAAAATCCACCGTGCAGACGTAGTTTCGGTTTGCAGAAACGGAATGAGAAAAAGGCGTTTAAGTGCCTCGAAAAGAACAGGCGCAGAATCTCCGCTGCTCTGGCCCGCACTCTGTGTCCGCGGTCAGGTTCACACGACGGGCTAAATCCTAAAGTGGCTTGAAGGCTTTTGGGGAGGGGGGCGGTGTGTGTGTGTGTGTGTGTGTGTGTGTGTGTGTGTGTGGAGTATAGGAGTGTTGCTTGAACACAGTAGTTCGGTTTCCAAAACGGGGTTTCTGATTCAGCTTATCCGACAACTAGCCATTTGAGTTTGGTGGGATAAATGCTTACTTAAGAAGCTTAGCACGCTGCGTGAGCGGAGTGTACTAAAACGGATTCTCCTCTCCGCAAACTTTTGTTTTGTTTTGTTTTCACCCAAGGCCCCAAACATAAAACGACCCGCTTCTTAAGAGAACGCGAAAAACCCAATAGGAACAGGGTCCGGCTTTGCGTAATGTGTGAACTCAGTCGCGGTTTATCCGGTCCAAACCTAAGGCAGCTTAACAGCGCAACATTTATTTAAAAAAAGACCTCCACGGGCTGCGTTCGCGCCAAGCCAGAGTATGATTGATCAGAGAGCCCTTGGCTGAGTTCACACGATTCGTTAACCCAGGAAAGGTAATTTCCTCGGTCACAGCTGATTAAATTCCCGCGCCGGCTAATAATTCCAAAGCGAAGGCGTCCAAAGCCGGGGGAGGGGGGGGAGACGTGGGAAGTTTCCTGCGCAGGTAAGTGTGCTTGAAAAAGCCGGAACGAGCCTGTTTTGCGTCCCGGAGACAGCTGCCCTTGTCCGCGCGTGGGTTTGGGCCGGAGGGCGAGGGCTGGGGGCCGCGAGGACTGGGGCGAGGACTGGGGGCCGCGCTCGCTCGCTCGGTCGATCGGTCTCTCGTCCTGCCGCCTTAACCCGGACTGCCGTCTCCTTCCTTCCTTCCTTCCTTCCTTCCTTCCTTCCTTCCTTCCTTCCTTCCTTCCTTCCTTCCTTCCTTCCTTCCTTCCTTCCTTCCTCCACAGCGGCGTGGCTTTGTCTCGAGCCCACTTCGAGAAGCAGCCGCCCTCCAACTTGAGAAAATCCAACTTCTTCCACGTCGTCTTGGCTCTCTACGACCGCCAGGGCCAGCCCGTGGAAATCGAGCGGACGGCCTTCGTGGACTTCGTGGAAAACGACAAAGTAAGGGCGTCGCGTTCTGGGCTCCGTCCCGTCCCGACCCACTGGACTCTTGCCTTTCTTGCCTGCAAACCCGCCCCCCCCCAAAACCCCCAAAAAGGTCTTTCCCAAAATCAGGCATCCAGGCAGCTTCTTTAAAACAAAACAAAACAGAAACAAAAAGCGATCCTAGCAAGCTGGGCTCCCGAATAATATAATTCTCCTTGTCCTTCTTCCAGGGTTTCTTTTGCAAACAAACGAGAGATCCCAGGTTGGTCAATTTCAGTCTGGAGTTTAAATGCTGCCCTTGCCTGATTCCCCCGAGCTAGGGTGAGATTCTGGATTTACTCGAATCCGAATTGAGGAGAGAGCAGCAGCAGTTGGTGATTTCTAACCGAAAAGGAGAACTTGCCCCCTGCTGCAGCTGCAGGTTGGAACCTGGAGCGCTAGGCTAGTCAATTTCACCCGCAGTTCAAGGCTGCCGGCCTTGTTAGTTTCACACCTAAGCCTATGTTGCCCCTCCCTACATTTACTCCTTAGGAAGTGGGGACAGGTCTTCTCCAAAAGAACAGGTGAGGGTTTAGGGCTGTAGTCTTGACTCAACTTCTCCTTGTTTGTGGGAGAGAGCAGGGGTGTTGCAACTGGTCAGAATTTATATTGTAACTTTCCAGTCTGTTCAGGTGCCCTGCCGTTAGTTTTTAAACTGACGTTTACTACTTGATTGGGGGTCTGACAGAAAGAATGTCAACTGCCTATTTTCAGTTTCTTTGCCTCACACCCTTGGATATTTTTTCCCCCCAAACTGACACTAGTTTGCTGTGAAATATTGTGTCCAGTTCTGTGAAGTTTCAGAAAGAAAAAGAACTAGTCCAACAGGCTGTCCTTCCTTTCCTGCTTATTTTAGTAGGACCCAAACCACAAAGTATCTCCCCTTGAATGGTATTCACATGAAGCTGGCATATGCAGCCCTTGGGGAAAGGCGATTGATGGTTCAATGTAAAGCTTGTTTGGAAAATCTGCCTCCTGTTCAGGAATTATCATTCCTGTGATTCTTAAATTGGGACAATATTATGTAGGTTATTTGGGACCAGGGCCCACAGAGCTCAACAGAACCAACTTTTCAGCAAACTGTATATCAATTCGCCTGAGTTAACTACTGTAATTAGTGTTAAAAAGGAATTTACTTAACAAATCCAGGTTGCCATTTCACTAAGCTTCTGTTGAGTTTAGAGGCTGCAACTTATAGATCATATTAAGCCTCCGACTTGTGTGGTGTGGTATGTCTAGTTTATAATTCTATAGGCTATGGGGTTGAGAAAATTGGATTAATTAAGTAAATCATGATTTAGTTTTGCTTACCATAGGTAAGCACTGACAAACACAGTTATTGGGACTTCTGACCAGGAAAGATGGAGATGCTGCTATTAATTCTGTGGCTTCAAGGACTGAATGACTTTATTTCTGGGAACTCTCTAGCTGGGTTCAGACATCCCAGTAACCACAAAGATCTGGTTCATTGTGTTGTGTCAGGCTAGCTATGGTGATTTGTAAGCCATGGTTTCTAGTAGTGGCAACTCAAGCTAGTGATTTACTCAATAAGTCACCTTTAAGGGTTTTAATGTGATGTGTGAACTCAGATTCTTCCTAAACCGTTTTTTTTCTGTTTCTAATTCATTTCTCAGGAACAGGGCAACGAGAAAACAAATAATGGAACACACTATAAATTGCAGCTTCTATACAGCAATGGTAAGTCCTTCCCCAGCTTACTCTCAACAAAGGGCCATGAAGGAGTAGGCTAATTACTAGGGTTAGCTTTCCCAAAACCTGGTGCCCTCTAAATGTGAAAAAGGTAAAGCCACCTTTCAACCCCTGGTGGTGTCATCGACACACCTATATACTTCATGGTTAGGTTGTATACTTTTCTTGGCAGCAATATGGACATTCTTTGCTGTTCCCTTTCTCTGGAAATTTCTTTTCCTTTTTTTTTTTTTTAAAAAAAAATCTTAGTCTACTTTAAGCCTTGTCTTTTTCTGCTTGTCTTTTTTCTGTATGTGCCAGAGAAGGGTGCTACGGTAATATACTAAATATCATTGGAATATTTAGCTGAAGGTTCCATCCCCTGTAACCAGTATGGGCATTTTCCCCGGGGTCTTACACTAGTCCTCAAGGTGTCTTCCAATACATCTTGCAAAACATTAGGTTGGGGAAGGGTTAATGACTGATACTGCTGCAGTGGCAATATGGAACACTGTTTTTTTTTTTTTTTATCATGGTGGAGTTGGTCTCCTAGTCTCCATCAGGTGGTGACAAATGTGCATATATGTGTCAACATACAACTTTATATGAATGTCAAATAATTGTGTAATATGTATATAGTTTATGCTATAGTTTTGAACCACTTTTGGAATGTGAGTTTAGAAAAGCTACACGGGAAGGCTACCTTTGGGTGGGGGAACACTTACCCAGGCATCGGAGTGGGTGAGTGGCATGCCTATCCCAAACAACTTGCAAGAGTCAATAAATGACTAAACACGCCCAAAGAGCCCGTTTCATCTCAAGTCAATTTCAGGTTGATGCTACTAGCATCAGCAACACATTCTACTGTACAAACCCAGACTGGCGTTTCCTTTTTATAATAAGGGACTTTTGCATTACTTTTTTGAAAGCATCACATTTGCTATGTAGTAACAAACAAGAAAAGGTTGCACATTCTTTCATTTGTTCTAATAAAGATAATCCAGGGTTACCACTTTTAAAGATTTGCAGCCCGTGAGGCTGAGTGGACCTTCAGCCTACCTTTACAACATTTTATTGGAAGTTGTTGTCCTTCCTGACCACATCTGTTATATCCAGAGGGTGGAAAGCAACTGCTTTTCATAAGGATTCCATTCATGGTAGATCATTTCTCCTAAACCTTGGTCACAAATTTGGATGACTTTTTATTTTTTTATATTTTTTTTCTGGATGCCCTCTGTATTTTATATTCTTTGGGTCTGTTTGAGGAGCATCACCTGGTCTTGCAACCATCAGAACCTTCAATTCTCTTCTGAAATTGATCAAGGGGGTGGGGGTGGGGGAGATGGGACATGTAGATTGCACTCAACACATATCTCTTTGTATGTGGGAGAGTAACCTAATTCACACATCATACCTAGCTATCTATATGTATGTCTTGTTTAAGTATGATTTATTAAATACATTTTGGTTCCAATAACACACTGATCCCTCAGTTATGGCTTACAAAACACAACAGTTGGATTTGTAGAATACACTAAGTGACAAATAAACAAATCACAGTTTGGGTTAGTACAGTCTGTGAATGTAAGCAGAGAAAGAATGGAGAGTGAATCTATTAGTCATGGTTCAGTCTGATAATTTCAGATGTGGGACTAGATGGTTTTGTACCAGGGAATGGCAAGAGATTAAATCCAGATGTAACACTTGGGCTGAAGCCAATGAAATCAATGAGGCTTAAGTTGGTTGTGAATAACCTAAGCTCCATTGATTGTAATGGGTCTATTATCAGTGTTTCTCAACCTTGGCAACTTTACGACGGCTAGCTGGAGAATTCTGGGAGTTGAAGTCCACACGCCATTAAGTTGCCAAGGTTGAACTTGGGCGGATCTTAGAAATTAAGTGGACTGTCTTGGTTAATATTGGGAATTCTGAAGCTGTTTTCTAGACTGGGAATGAACAAATAAGCAACTTTTGGAAAAGGCAGTGACCATGTTGGTAACTGTTGAGAATGCTTCATGAAGGCAGTCAAACTTGATTGAAGGGCAGTTTTAATCTAACTGTTCCAAGACTGACTTGGTTTGGATCTAATGACATATTATTAATTTATTAAAACATGGTAAGGCAATCTGCCTATGTTTTGAAGGCCTTCTGATTTAGTCTGCTGAATAACACCCTGGACATTTGCCCAGTGGTGGGATTCAAGTAGGTGAACAACCGGTTCTCTGTGTGGATGCCGCTTCTGGAAGTCCATCCTGGACCTGGGCAACAAAAAATTAGCTCCCGGTTCTGCCGAAGTGGTGCGAACCGGCTGAATCCCACCACTGCATTTGCCCCATATGTCCTACTTAGAGGTCACCATGGAAAATGAGGAGAGGGAAGGAAGAAGGAAAACTTGGAATGGAGAGAAGTACGGGCTGATGAAGAATGTTAGAAAGGAAGGTGTTATTGATATATAGTAACTACTGCTAGTCTTGATTAGGTCTCCTAGAAGTTATAATGATCATCCACGGAATATGGATGGTCCAGGTTGAGGAAGGTAGATGTGATGAACCATGAAGGTGTCTGTATATGAATGGTATGTGCATATGCTTTAGCACTATGCACTATGGCGTCTCCTTCCCCAAACAGCTTACCTAAGAGAGAAGGCAGCCTATAGTGGGGAATAAATCCTTTGAAAGAATCCCAAATTTATCCTTCTCTCATCCTTTTTTCCCCCTATTCCCTGTAGGTGTCAGGACTGAACAAGATCTATTTGTCAGACTCATTGATTCAGTCACAAAACAGGTGAGATTTCTACTTCCATCCTTTCATCTCACCCTATCTGTGTTTCTTATTATTCAGAGAAATAGTCACCTTACCTTATCAGGGATGGTTTTGTATCTTCTGTGAAGGCTGCTTCATGGAAGGTTTGGAGACTTCACTTGTAATACGCAAAACGAAGCTTCTCAGGCTAGTGCTTTTTAAAAAAATATCATATCGGAATTGCAGCTTCCAGGATCCCAGTCTGGAAATGGAGGGGGCGCAGTTAGAGAAGGCTACTCTTGAAAATGTGCAATTCCTCGGCCTGTTTTTTTTATTTTCAGAGTGGTAAATCATAGCAGAGAAAATATTGTCTCATTGGTTTTAAACCGACTCTCCCGTATTCTCCACTTCTCTATAGCCTATCGCTTATGAAGGACAAAACAAGAACCCAGAAATGTGCAGAGTTCTGCTCACCCATGAAGTTATGTGCAGGTAAGACAACGTTGTCTGTGGAGATTCTCAGTCATCCAGGGGGTGGTATTCCCAAAGGTGCTTTTTCAGGAGGCAACTGGACTGCCTTGTTTTTCTTTGAAGACGTTTCGCTTCTCATCCAAGAAGCTTCTTCAGCTCTTTCCTTCAAAGAACGGCCTTTTTCTTCAAAGAAAATCAAGGAAGTCCAGTTGCTCCTAAAAAAGCATCTTTGGGACAATGTTGTTCCTTTATGTTCATCGAGTGTGACACAATCACACCCTAGTAGCCAAACAGGCCTAGTTGCCGCCATTGCTGAGATTTTTGAGGTGGAAAGAAATGGGACGTATTTGGACGAAAGGGTGAGGAACAATTTTCACTAGCGTGAAGGCTAATTATCCAGCCAAGGAGATGAGAAGGTTACCTCATTAAGCAAAATCTGGAAGTATTCTTAATTAATGCTCTAAAATAAAATTTTTAAAACATAATAGTTGGGAAGACAGCGGTGGAGTGTCCTTCTCTCTGTTCACTAATTTTTAATGTCCTTTGCTCAACTGTAGCTTTGCCTTATTTGCAGACCAAATCCATTATAGCTTGTTTAAAAATATATATATAAAACTTGGCTTAGTGTTATGTGTCAGCCTAGCCTCTCAATTTCTTGGACAGGAAAGAAAGGGTGCGCCCACATGGACATTCCCTTTTTTTAAAAAAAAAAAGAAAAGAAAAATCAAGGAATATATCCAGCAAAGTAGGAAAATAAAATAAAAGAAAGGGATACAACTTCTAGAAGGCTCCGGAGTGGGGCTGCAATGGTAGCAATCCAGCCAGTTTCTCTCTTTTTAAAACTTTCCTGAGAAAAGGGAAATAATTCCAAAGAAGGGTTGGAACACCAGATAATATTAAGCCAGATGCTCAAGACCTGGGAGTGTTCATCCAACTCTTGGCTAGAGGTTCTGCTCTGCTAAGGGCCTGGAATTCTTCTTTATTTTCCTGGATTTTAATTCAGCAATTTAACTTTCCTAACTCTGGCTTCTGAATCAGTCTATCCAGTGTTTCTCAACCTTGACAATTTTAAGGCATTTGGACTTCAACTCCCAGAATTCCACAGCCAGCAATGCTGGCTGTGGAATTCTGGGAGTTGAAGTCCACATGCCTTAAAATTGTCAAGGTTGAGAAACACTGGTTACATCTTTGCATGCAAGCCTAAAATCCACATGAAGGCTGCAGGCCTATCCTCACATCTCTGGTTTTAGGACCAACAATCACTGGGCGTTGTCCTTTGTCACTGCTGCCCCACTTTAACAAGCAATGAGTATGCTTGCATTTAATGCATCAGCGGTGCAGTTATATCCTATGCATGTCTAGTCAGAAGGAAATTCTGCTGGGATCAGTGCAGTCATATTCAGGTAAGTGATAGAGACCGAAAGAAATCAACAAATAAGAAATAAATACTGGGGAGGTTTAGCTATAACTACATTTTACTTTCCCCCCCCTTTCTTGTTAGAATGGCCCACGAACTGTGATATGCAGGTAGTTCTCGACTTACGTCAGTCCGTTTAGTGGCCATTCAAAGTTACAACGGCATGTGTCTTAGGATCATTTTTCACAGTTCACAATCCCACGATCATGTGATCAAAACTCAGGTGCTTGGCCACTGGTTCATACTGATGACCGTTGCTGCGTCCCAAGATCATGTGATCTCCCCTTTTGTGACCTTCTCATAAGCAAAGTCAAAGGGGAAGCCAGATCCACTTGACAACTGTGTTACTAACTTATCAGTTGGAGAAATTCACTTAACAACTGTGGCAAGAAAGATCATAAAATGGGACAAAACTCACTTAGCAAATGTCTCACTTAACAACATAAATTTTGGGCCCAATTTTGGTCGTAAGTTAAGGACTGCCTGTACAATGAATCTGTTAGATTATGCAGTTCTAAATAGTTCCCTGCAGAATATTTCCTCCTTCTCCCCCTCCTCCTCCCCCTCCTGATGTAAAATGCTTTTCACTTCTCCCACACAGAAGATGTTAGTGAATTACTATGGAGTATTATGTTTTTGCTTCCATTTTAGTGACAACGTGATTAAGTAGGATGCAGGAATGTTCTGCTTTTTCTTAGACACTAAATTGTCTAGTACAGTGGTTCTCAACCTTTTTAATGCCGTGACCCCCAACCGGTTGTAAGTCGAGGACTACTCAACCAGTCGTAAGTCGAGGACTACTCAACGGGTGCAGCACCGTTTGCAGAATGGGACTTTTGGCGGCCTCAGCAGGGCAGAGACAGCCTGGACAATTCCTATTGGCTTTTGAAAGCCAATAGAATTAGACTCTATTCAAGAGTCTGTTCTATTGGCTTTCAAAAGCCAATAGAATAAAAGGGAGTAGCACAGCTAAGGAAAAGGGGAAAAAAATGGCGGACTGCGTTGTTTGGCGACCCCCGTGAAATGGTCGTTCGACGCCAAATGGGGTCCCGACCCACAGGTTGAGAACCGCTGGTCTAGTAGTCACCCATCTCCTTGACTGTTCTCACTTCCCTGTGATGCCATTGGGCATTGCTGGATCAGGAAGTCAGGACAGTTAAGGAGATTGGAAACTGATGGAAAGTAGTAACAGGAAACATTGTCAGGATATGACCATATATTCTGCCTACTTTCAGGGTGTTTTAGAGCTTGAGTATAACTGGAAACGTTCAAATTAATGGGATAACACCTTCAGAATTAAATTGAAATGAAGGGTCCTCGGTGCTGAGCTTGGTTGTTTCCTTGCAGACATTTCATTACCAAAATAGGTAACATCATCAGTGCTTGTGATGATCTTGCCTAGCTTGGGTAATCAAATGTCTGCAAGAAAAGAACCATGCTCAGAGAGCACCAAGCACCCCAGGTTTCTATATAGCAGAAACAAAGTATAGTATGGTATCCAATCTCCCCCTCTCAGAATATTGTTCTTCAGCTTCCCAGTATAACTTACAACCTTGAGATTTCTCCCATCCAAGGAGTAATCAAATCCAAACTGTCTTGGATATCCACATCAGTATTTAATTGCTGCTATGTAACTAGGTACCAAATCCCACTGGAGGGTTAAACCCATCTTTAAATCATTCCCTCTGAGGAATTTAGTGCTTTGCTTTTTAAGAAGTAGCAAACAAAAAAAAGTTTGTTAAGACTTTGCTAGACTTAAACAAGCCTATTTTGTTTTAAACGCCCCTCCAAAAATAAAAAAGGGGGGAGGGGGAACAGAAAAAATGGCCAAAAAAAGAGAGGCATAATTATTTTGATGTTTTTCTATCTGGAAACTAAATAAAATAACATGCGGCTGTTGGCTGTGAAAATTAGTTCCTTTATGCAGTGGTAAATATGATACTTCATGGTTTCAAGATTTAGCTCTAATTAATTTGTGCCTCCTTTAGATATAATATTCATATTTTGTATTTTACTTGTTGACTTCTTGAGAACTTGGCCCAGTTTTAGAAACAGAGATGCTTTTCCCAAGGAACACTACAACACAAGCATAATTTTATAGGATGATTAGAAAAGAAGCAGGAAAGAAAATTTGGAATGCATCATTTTTCTTAGAATAATACCAAATGGAGGCTGGCATTTTTCCTTCACAGATTTATGACTATGTGATAGGCTGTACATATGCTATCCCCTGTATCTGTTTTGGTCTTATACTTGTCCACATAAACCTGTGTTTAAAGCTAGCTAGTATAAGGCCTTAACTTTATAATTATAAAAATATTTTTCGTTAGCTAGAAGGCACCTGATTTATAAATCAGCTAAGAAAGCATGATAGTTTTCTCATATTCTTTTTGTGAGACACAACTTTTGTAGAATCAGCAAGACAACATGATTTGAAACATCAATCACCTTACTTGAATAGTATTCATAATTGTTAATTTGTTCTTTTTCTTTTTTTACATTATTGCATATTTTAGCTTTGGACTTAATTCAAAGTTGAATTAATCTTGACATTATTTTTTTTTTAGCACCACAATCTGATTTTGCTATGGGCGGATTTCAGCGGTGTATCAATTTTTAAAGCTGATAATTTAGTTTGCATTAATAACAGTATATCAAAATTTAATGTACCCACCCTTACTGCTAAACATGGATGCTCATTGCCTTTGAACGAGAGACTGTTCTTATCAACCTTCCTTGGAAAATAAACATCTTTTTGATTTGACATATAGTATGCTGTGACTGTTCTGCTTGGATGCACACAAGTGTATCCGGAATCCGTACATCTTTCTCCGGGTGACAGATGCAAGCCTAGCAAGAATGTTGTCTAAATATTTATGCAGATGCAGTGATGTGTCACTGGTAGAAAAAGGAAAATCTCTTGTTTCACAATCATTAGCGTTCGCGTTGAGCATTTTTGGGGCGGAGCTGAGCTGTTTGTGTTATTGATGACTGCCTCTAAGTCAGTTCATGCTCTCTGATGTCCCTCTGACTTCTAGTGAAGCTCCTGTCTGAACAAAACTAGGTAGCATGGAGACGCTGGGTGCATCAGGCCGCGATGCTTTCTTCACGGAGCAGAATATCCGTGCAAACATTTGGTTTGTGGTCAGATGGATATAAATAAAAATAAGGCATCTCTCCTGGAATAATCCTTTCCCCTTTGAATGCCAAGCCTTTGCAAGATGCAAACGGTACTTCTTCGTTCAGCTGTTGCCAGAAGCCTCTCTGCCCTTGGTGCTTGGAGGCGCTGGCGGGTGTGTGTGTGTGTGTGTGTGTGTGATGGAAAAGGTATTATAATGTGAACAGAAGTCGTCTCGGGGCCTACAGCTGGCTAATAACAGAGTTGCATTGAGCGCAAGTGAGACCCACAGCTGTGACTTTCGCCACAAGGCTCAGACTAGACAGCAGCAGACAGGATCGGCCGAGCCAGTCAGCCAGCGAGCTTTAGGTCTTTATTGGCCAGATGGTGTGAATTTAGACACTTTTGTTATGCAATGCCAGGGAGGAGTTGAGGAGAAGAAAACAAAACAAAGGCCACCATGCTGGGGGCTTATTTCGGTTTGAAATTAGAGACAGATTTTTTTTTTTTTTTAGTTGAAAGCTGAATTTTAAAACCTTTTTTTTTCCAGAAGGGGAAGAGAAAAGATATAAAACTTTCTTTGAGCAACGGAGATGTCTGGGACATCCTGGTCCTTCACATTATATTTCGTGCAGTCCTGGGCACGTGTATAATAGCCTGGTGTTCAAACGCAATATTCCACCATTGCCCCAAAACTCAGGAATTTATTATGTTTGTTTTAATAAAGCAAAGGCTGACATGAGGTTTATAATCCAGAGAGACTGATCGAGTGAAGGTGTCTGTTAAATTGTCAACTGGAATCGGGATCATCGTCTCCAATGCCTGCAACCTGCAGCAGCAAAGCTTAGAAATGAAGAAAGAGAATCTGCTTTCTGTTGGCTGGAGTCATATATTTGCAAACACATGGATTTGTATCAACCGTGGTTTACTAAGCCTGAACAGACTAGCATTATCTAATACTTAGCCACAACTTGTGATTTTCAAAGAACAGATCACACCTTAGAGGTAGTAGTTTAGCCATGTCCCATAATGGGCCAGCCAACACAGCACAATAAACCTAAGATAAGCAAACTATATTATGCCTTAGCTCAGGGGTAGGCAACCTTGGCTCTTTTATGACTTGTGGACTTCAACTCCCAGAATTCCTGAGCCAGCATGGGGGAACTATGGTTCCCTTTATGACTCATGGACTTCAACTCCCAGAATTCCTGAGCCAGCATGGCTCAGCATGGAAACCTCTCCATTTCTCCTCAGCATGGCTGGCTCAGGAATTCTGGGAGTTGAAGTCTACAAGTCATAAAAGAGCCAAGGTTGCCTACCGCTGCCTTAGCTCAATGCGTGAAGTTTATCAGAAGCTTAGAAAGCTGAATGAATTCATGCTAATTCATTGCTAAGAGTAGCTGGCTAAGAGTCTGTAGAATTTCACGATGGCTTTTTCGCAATCTTTCTTGCATTGCCAGGATTGATGCCTGGCATGCAAAGCATAATTTATATCCCTATAAGAGGAGACATCATGTACATCACAAAGCCCAGACACAGATCATATGTGGCTCACAACTGTATGAGAAGATGGGCAGTCAAAACAGGAAATGAATGAATGAATTAATCTATTAATTAAAAAGTTGCTCTCCATGCAAGATGGCCAAGCTACGCCAATGCAAGGCTTGAACTGGGAAAGGATTAAGAAAAAACTGATATGAGCATCATCTATACTTTTTCCTGATCCCTGACAGAATAAAAGTTTCACTGAATAAACCCAACCAATGGAAAGCAAATCTATTTATTTATCTATCTGTTTATCTGTTTATCACATTTTTTGACTGCCCACCTTCCTCACAGAGTTGTGAGCCACATGTGATCTGTGCATGAGCTTCGTGGTACATGACATCTCCTCATATAGGGACATAAACTATGCTTTGCATGCTAATGCTTCAATCCCTGGCAATGCAGGGTTTGTGTATCCAGCCACTGTGATTTTGTAAGCCATGGTCTGTAACTTAGTCTCCCCTACTCAAGTTGGCTTTCGTAATCTAGAGCCATAAGATAGTGGAATAGGCTTAGACTGACCATCACTCATTATGTCCAAGCAGAAGGTTGAACCGTCCCATAGGCCATCTGGTGAACATTGTTCCCATTATAATATTGAATACTGTAAATTATAGTAATTATTTATACATGCACATATTTAATGATAGCTGGGGTCCCCAACCATTTCTGATTGTTAGACCCCATTTGGAATATGGCAAACCTGTTTTAAATCTTCCAACAAAGAGTTTGCTTGTCAGCACTATCAGACCCGGCCAGGAAATCAGAGTTATGATTGTTAATACCACTTTTATTGTAAGGTTACAGTAACAGAAATTTACAAGTCTGAATATGCTCCCTCCCACCTATATCTTTATGATAACCAGGAAAGGTCCAGTCTGCTTCTTAAATTACATTTCTGCCCCAGACTCAGATTTTTTTCTCGGACTATTGTTTTGTTGTGGCTTTTCTTCCTGTTCCTTGAGGTTATTCCTATTGCCAGTTATATTTCTGGAAGGATTGCCCATTCATAAAACAGCTGATATGAGAGCTATAAGAAATCACATGCCCTCAATTTCCCAAAATGCCACCTCTTTGGCAATGCTCCTCTCAAGGGGCTGTCCCCCCCGTCCTGTTTCTGGTCACGTAACTAATGAGTTGCAATAACTGCCCTTTAAATTTTTAAGAAGGATTAGTGGGGATACTAAGGATTCAGTGTCATTCTTTTTTTTTTGTTTTTTTAAGAAAAGAAAAATTAAAAATTCAGCTGTGGTAGGAATTGGCATGCACTAAGAGGTCTCTGTATTCCCAGACTTAGAGATTGCATTCACTTATACCTAATGTTGGGTAGTTTTAACTTTTCTTTCAGCCTCACTGTATCACATGAACTCAATTAGTGTGGTTAATTCATAATTTACTGTATGGTTCAAAGTCAGAATAGAGTAGCACATGAACATGTAAACGTTTGGCATTTATTCATGTATTTAATGCCTAATTTCTTGGGGTTTGCGTGCAAATGCCTAGGTTAAATTCTACTTCTTTAGCAATGATCTCAGCTTGCTGGAGAGTGGAGTCTCCTCTGCTGTTCTTTAGCACCCCACTGTGCATAGCTAGAAAGCAGAACTGAAGCTGCTCTTTAGCAGAAGCCTAGTATCTATGACAATGGCCAGTTATTGGGCTCAGTGTACTTTTGTCAGTTAAAAAAAATCCTATTAGCATGAACCATCCAATGCCCTTAAACAGTGGTGGGATTCAAATACCTGAACATCCGGTTCTCTGCGTGGATGCAGGCCTGGCCTTCTGAGGCCTAAAACAGACTTCCCGAAGTGACATCCATGCACTTCCTGTCGGCTGTTCTAGGCTTGGGCAGGCCTCCGAGGCCTAAAACAGACTTCCCGAAGTGACATCCATGCACTTTCTGTCGGCTCTTCTAGGCCTGGGCAGGGCTTCGAGGCCTAAAACAGACTTCCCGAAGTGACATCCATGCACTTCCTGTCGGCTGTTCTAGGCCTGGGCAGGCCTCCGAGGCTCAAAACAGACTTCCCAAAGTGACATCCATACACTTCCAGTGGGCCGTTCTAGGCCTGGGAGACCTCCTCCAGGCCTCCGAGGCGTAGAACGGATTTCTAGAAGCAGCATGGGTTCAGCCAGTTCTCTAAACTCAACAAAATTTAGCTACCGGTTCTACTGAACTGCTGTGAATCAGCTGAATCCCACCACTGCCCTTAAATTAATGTAAGTGAGTATAAAATCTAAAAACAATTACAGGTAAATCCTTGACTTATAGCAGTTCCTTTAGTGACTGTTCGAAGTTACAACAGCACTGGAAAAAATCACTTATGACCATTTTTCACACCTATGACCATTGTAGCGTCCCCATGGTGATCAAAATTCAGATGCTTGGCAACTGGTTTGTATTTATGATGGTTGTAGTGTCCTGGGATCACGTGATCACTTTTTCTGATCTTCTGACAAGCAAATTCACTTCACAACCAGGTTACTAATGTAACCACTGCAGTGTGGCAAGAAAGGTCATAAAACGGGGCAAGATTCACTTAACAACTGTTTCACTTAGCAACAGAAATTTGGGGCTCAATTGAGGTCATGTGTTGAGAACTACCTGTATGTAGCACTGTATGTTACACTTAACTGAATTATTTTCCTTTTATGCTTGTTTCCTTCTCAGTCGTTGCTGTGAAAAGAAGAGCTGTGGAAACCGTAACGAGACTCCCTCGGATCCCGTGATCATTGATAGGTAGGATACATAATTTCTATCCCCCTTTTTTTTTTTAAGAAAGCAATTGAAAAGTCCAACTTGTTCTATTCCTTGCAGCTGGACAAGTTGAACTATCTTGATATTGTATGTAAAATATCTCAAAATAGCTGGACTTTCTTTACAGGAATGTCTGCATATGATTGCTGAAGTTGCTATTGGTCTTGTTGTTATATAAGATTCCCTGGTTGCCTATTTAAGCTTGCCAAAATGTTCCTTTCAAAAGGATACTTCCAAAAGTATCACAAATGTTCTCCATTAAAGGAAAGGTGACATCCAGAGAAAATTGTCTAACAGAGTAGTCCTGCTGTTTCGTGCGTGATCTACTGTTGAAGAATGAAGTTGCAGACATGTTCTTGTGGAAAACTTGTTAGCCAAGTTTGAAATCCTCACTTCTTAGACCTATAATAGATGTTTGCATAAACTGTTGCGTGTTCACATTTGTTGGTACTTAAAACCAGAGCAACTTTTTTGTACAGGGAAAAACAATTTGTGCAATAGTAGGATAGAAACAGAGAATGCTTTTCATGTTTTGCTCTTACTTGAGGCATGGTAGCTAAGAAAAATCTAAAATTACTGAAGCCCCGAATTGTGTGTGTAGCTGTGCTTGAATGCACATTAAGGATGTAGAAGAACTCTGCTATGGGTTTTAGAATGAAATGGTGTGATCCATCAACTCTTACAGCACAGGCAGAGAAAATGCATGTGAATTGTTGGTGTCTGTAATTCTCTTTTCAAAAGCTTCGCAGAAAATGGTATATACTTGGAGGAGATGACTATAAATGATTTGGAGAAAGTTCCCTCTGAAATTTCATCCATGATTAAAAGCAGCATACAAAAGAAAACAACTGCCCATATTTTTGTATAAACCATGCATTTGTTTTCCAGAGGGCAGGAAAGTTTATCACCAGCTGGAGAACTGACCGAGAGCCCCAGAACCTCAGTCTAAACTGAGATCTGATTTCTTTCTGCTTTTTCATGTGTTCATTTGTGAGCTTCCTTCCTTCTATTTTCATACTTGTTTGAAACCCGCCCGAAAAAAAAGTTTGCACATATCTTAGTGCATATTTCATCTAGCATGAGGATTTTTATATTTGCAGTTTTGTTTACCATTCACGGTTTTTCAAATAATTACCCAAGATATTCTATTTGTGGACTTGTTCATGAATATGAACTTGGCTTATTCATTGTCATAATACTGTGGGAGAAATTTAGATTGCCTAAGATTGTCAAATTGCATGATATTAAACTAAAAGTCCTCTTCAGCTCACAGTTTGGGCCAGATGTGTTAGAATCACATACAACTCCTGGATTATGAGTCTTGGAGGGTGCTTTAGACAACCCTAAGCTTATTTATTTATTCATCAAATTTATATGGCCGCCCATCTTATGAAAAAGTAGTTCTGGGTGGCCTACAATAAGATTATAAAATAGTTAATCTATTAAAAATACTTTTTTAAAAATTAAAAGGTAAAGAGAGGACAGTAGATTTTAACAATTCTCACTATTCTTCTATAAATAATGAAAGATCATCGCTATGATGGGGAAAAAGCAATCAAGACTTGCCTGCTAATTACCAGCTTATCAACTTCTTAAGCATAATAAGTCAGCTTTATGCCAAGCACTTATATAATACATTGTCCAATTGGGTCAGTTCAGGGTATATTCGGCAAATGACAGGCAGGTTTTAGAGTTGGACACTCTGCCTTAGATCACATTCTTATACTTCAACATCAGACCACAATATTTATGTGAGCCTGTGTTATGTGCCACATTCATCAACTTCAGGGCTAGACTTGATTTCATTTCCAGGACAAAGTCATGGATAAATTCATGCAGGCTACAAAAAGACAGATAGCTACTCCTGTAAATGTTCAAACACCATGAGAGCTCCAGAATAAAAAGTTTGTTGTAGCACAGAAAGCCACTTGTAAAGAAATTTCAAATTAAAGAAGAGTAAGACAGGAATGCATTTAGCCTCCCACGTTGTTCTCATTTGCACATAACCCCTCTTGTGGCCAAAATAAGTAATTTTGAGCATCATCCCTCCTCCCACTTAAAGTAGCTAGTAAGCACATTGTAATTTTATTGCATACAGATGATGTAGTGCAGGGGTCTTCAAACTTGGCCCTTTTATGACTTGTGAATTTCAACTCCCAGAATTCCTCAGCCAGCGTGCCTGGCTGAGGAATTCTGGGACTTAAAGTCCACAAGTCATAAAAGGGCCAAGTTTGAAGACCCCTGATGTAGTGCTTCAATCACAAGGAGCGGCTGGAGTATCCTAGCCACTTTTTTCCTTAAGAAAGCAGTTGAGATTACATTAAAATGAAGTTCTTAATAAAGATCTTAGCAAAGTGACCTAAAATACATGCCCAAAGTTCAGGCAATACAACAAAGCGTGAGTTTTTCTGAGTGCCTTCAAGTACAAAACAACCAAAACTAGGTTCATGTTGTTAATTGGCTCCAGGAGATGCAACAGTTCTAAAAAGGATGAGTTCCAAACAAACCATGTGACTTACCACGTGATCCTTTGTTTCAGCTGGGAAGAACTTTCTGTTTGTCCCTTTTTCTATGTCAGCGAACTTCCCAGTATGGCCGACCTCCTGTCTGCACTCTATGGTTGTCCCACTCCTTGTGCAGCAACCTTCTCAGCATGACTGACTTCCTGTCTGCACTCTGTGGTTGTCCCACTCCTGGTGCAGTGACCTTCCCAGCATGGCCAACTTCCAGTCTGCCCTCTGTGGTCATTCCACTCCTTTTGCACAGACCTTCCCAGGATGGCTGACTTCCTGTCCATTCTCTGCAGCTGTCCCCTTCTTCCTATCACAGTGGGTCCAGTACTAAACAAATGCCAAGTAGTGGGACAATATTTTTGCATCAAAATGTGTCACGTTTTGAAGCAGTCAAGTAGTGACGTACCACTGTAATTCAAAATGCTATTCTATTCTATTCTATTCTATTCTATTCTATTCTATTCTATTCTATTCTATTCTATTCTATTCTATTCTCATAACATTGCAGCAGAATAATCTTTCCACTTCACCAGAGGCACACACAGTATTTCAGCAATGCTAAAGCCACATCTGACTAAGGCATGTATATCACTTCTGAGGATGGGCTATAATCAAGCCGTTACAGGAAGTCCTCAATTTACAACCTCAGCTGGATCCAGAATTTCTAAGCAAGACAGTTGTTACGTCAGTGATGAGCAAATGTTAAGCAAATTACTGTCATTGTTAAATGAATCATGCAGTTGTTAAGCGAATCCCCCATTGATTTTGCTTGTCGGATGTCAGTTGGGAAGGTCAAAAGTAGTGGTCAGATAACCCCGGGATGCTGTAATCGTTGTAAATGCCTGCTGGTTGCCAAGTGGTCAAATTCTGACCACATGACTGTAGAGATGCTGCAACAGTTGTAACTGTGAGGACCGCTGTGCAAGTCACTTTTTTCAGTGCTGTTGTAACTTCTAAGGGTCCCTAAATGAATATTGCAAGGCGAGGATTATCCGTTAGTGCATGCAAGCAGGATTGTACTTGGCTAGATACTTGGAAGTCTAATTGGGTCAATCTATCCTACCCCAGATTGTGTTCCTGAATAGTGATGCCCCTTATTTTATGCTGCAAGACACTTAAAGCAAACAGCTCTCCCTGAATTCCAAGGAGCCCTAACATTAGCACTTTTCAATATCCTCCTAACAGCTGTTCTCAAGGGCAAATATTAAAAAAATCCTTTGCCAGCTAAGATTGTGCCCTTGTGAAGAAAGAGCCATTCAACTGCTAGTTCATTGCTGTGATATTTGTTTTTTTCTGTAAGGACATAAGACACTCAGAGAATTCAGATTTATTTTATGTACGGTTCCTGTGATGAGACTAGTATAATTTTGTTTCCTTGAATGTGGCTAAATTCTGTTAAAGCTGGACGTCTTTTTATTGCCTCGGTGACCTAGTTGTAATTTTATATTTGCATTTTATTTTATTTGATATAGCAACTAATTATTTTATTTCATTTTGGATCTTGTAGAATTCTAGCCAGTGATTGTAATAACACCTGCTACTATTTCTAGTTATTTCTAAGCATTTAGGAATTCAGTACTGATTTGAAATATTTTGTATTAGTGAATCAATGCAAAGAGACTTTAAATTATTAACTATATTTCTTATGACCTTCAGAGGAGATTGACTGAACGAAAGCCATTTCGTGTCTACAAAATGCACTAGAGAATATTTTTAAAAGACAGTTTATCAAAGTTATTATGTTGGCCATGTAAACGAGATTAGGGGTCTCGCTCATATAATATTGGCTTGTTCTATTAAGTATTCCAAGTTGGATGGAAGTCCATAAGTTTGTTACTTTGTTTTTACAATTAAAGGATATTGATATACTTGTGAATCTGGAATTTTTCACTATACAGAGAGACCTATGGATTTTTTAAAGCGTGCAGGATAGCATAAAAATGATGAAAAGTTTGCTTTCTGGTTTTGGCTAATGTAAAGATGATAATGAATATTGTCAAGGTTTATTGAATTGCTTAAGTATTAGATGGAAAGATATTTCTGGTTGTTGTTTTTTTTAGTTGCTTTAATTTTGCTTTTTTGCTTTTTTCTTCTTTTTTTCCCATTAACCAAGAAAAGGAAATAAACTTATTCTTTGAAGAAATAAAGGAATGGTAGGAAAGCTGAATGATAACTAAATTTCAATTTGTATTAAATGCTGGCAGGGGAATTCTGAGAAGCATTTTCAAAGATGTCATCACAACCCTCAACTATATCCAACTTTCAAATGAGCTCAGAAACACCAAATGAAATTTGAAGTTGAAAAACAGAAGCCCCTTTTTCAGGAGGAGCACAGATTTTCTGGATGGATTTACATGACCCTTATGTTTTCAAATGTGTTATGTCAGTTTTAAGTGACTAATATATGGTAACATATTCCAATAGAAATTATTTTTTAGCCAACACTGGTATTTGAATGTAATAGAGATT